GTCTCTCGTTAAATACACGAACGGAGAGTCCATTTGGTGAGGGGTTGCTTTGTAGACACCAGAACTGAAGCAGGCACAGTATCCTGCAGTGTTAGGCAGGGGTCAGCCAGCACAGCAGGGACCAGCCCCACACAGTCCAGCTTCCCAAGGGCATGGGTTCCAGAGCAGAAGACCCCACTGGGATCTGGCCACATCCTCCTTATTGGGCCTGAATTAAATCAGGGGGAGAACTCACCCACTGAGCCAGTTGGCAAGTAACGGGTGGTTAAACACTGTGGCTGGGAACACACGCTCACAACCACTGACGTGCTGCTGCCTCTCCCCAGCCCCACTTCCCCAACGCCCTGCTCCGGCCGGGTGAGGAGTACAACCACACCACGTGGCTCGTGTTCGACACCGCTTAAGGAAAGGGGATGCTGACTCCTACCACCAAGAGGGGTAAGTGCCTCTAGCACGTTAGCCAGAAATCCTGCCGGGTGCCAAACGGTGCTTTCCAGCTACCCTGGGGGATGCATCGCATTTGGGAACTTTTTTTCCTCCTCTATGGTGTTCATTCATGGCTTTTGGTGGCTTTAACTCCTGTCACCACCTCTGCCGCTGTGTGGTTTGTGCAAAGCTCTCACCTTCTGTCCAGTCTCACCCTGGGCATTAGGTTTTGTTTCGCAGTAAAAATGCACTGAAAAATACCTTGTTTAGGGACATGGCATGTTGCAGCTCAAACTACAGCAGGGGAATATCTGGTAATATTCACGTGGAGCACATGGGAAGGTTGATAAGGTTGTGGTTGTTCATTAGAACATCAGCTATTCCCCACAAAGTGCTCTGAGCTGTGCTGGCTGCTGCTCTGTCCCTGCCACTGACCTGCCCCACAGCTCAGTGTCAGCTCATCAAAGGTTGGTGTGCCCTTCCCATGCTGGCCAACAGATCTGACAGCAGCGTTGCGATGGCAGGGGTACACAGTGGTCACCCAGGATAGCTTTGGTGCTGGGATTACCCTAGCTGGCCACCCTGGCTCCTCTGGTTTAACTCCTATTTTGAAGCCAGCAGCAGTAACTGCACAAGAGCATCTTCTGCGCTCCACCTGTGCTCCTGAAGTGAAGCAGGAGCATCCATCTATAGTCCGGAATACACAACTGCAGGAGGAAAAACATGGTCTTAATGTTGTGTTTCCACGTGAAATATGTATCATCCCCAAAACCTCCATGTTTCTGAGGTTTCATAAAATCTTGGCACAAGCCAGAGGGATGGCAGTGCCATCTTGTTAGGGAGCTGGCACCCTTCTCCCCAGGGCCATGGCGCAGCCAGTCCTTGGGCCAGGCGCCCTGTGTGAGGCACTGCAGCCCAAGTCCCCCCTTCTCCTGCCATGCTGCAGCCAAAGGGGCCGCGTGAGCCCCGCTCCCACAGCACTCCAGAACGCTTCCTCGGCTGCAGAGCTTCGGGAGTGATCTCATCTCCAGTGGAAGTGCCTGGCCACTGGGCTTGCAAACATGACAGACCCATCACTGTCAGTTCTGCCACACTGACCCCCAAAATGAGCACCCCGCGACTCTTTTCCAAGAGTTTGTGCACTCACCATGTGGGAATTTTGGTGAAATCCTACCAAACTGGGGTGAGAGCTGGAGCTGGGCAGCCTGCTCCAAGGATGAGGGCTGGAAGCAGCACAGCCACCCTGTTTTGGTCAGCACAGCTGGACAGAAGCACGGACACCAGATCTGCCACCACTCCCTCTGCACCTGGGATGTCCTGGCTGTCCCTGTAGTGCCACAGCCGCAGGCACAGCCCTGCCTCCCTGCCCAGCTTCTCACTGCGAAACCCAGGCTCAGAGGAACCCCAAGCCCCTACAGAAACCCGTGCTCCTCTGCTCTGTCTTCCACAGCACCTCTGGGTGCTGAAAAACAGGTACCAGTACAGCTGTGGTGTTAGTTGGCAGGTTTATTGTGGAGTAGGCTCACCTTGAGAATACAGAAGAGAAAAAAGCTGCTCAAATTCCAGAGCGGTGGCGTACGTGCGCCTCTCACCAGGTATGAACTATAAAGCAGGCAGGCAATGCACAACCAATAAATATTCCAAATATCAGTCACAGGCTTTGGGTATTTCTCCTGAATCTCTGTGGGGAAACATTTGTGTCACCCTCCCCTGCTCTCCAGTTGCAGCACTGGTGGAATTTAACAGGTATTGCTGGAATATTGATCATTGCTGAGCACAGTGGGAGTGTCCAGGCAGACCCTGACCACCACAGCGTGTTCAGAGTCTGGACTATTGACTCCTACACTGAAAAAGCTCCATAAACTCCTTGTTAACAGGAAACCTGCTTTTTTTTTTTTTTTTAAAATCATGGGTTACCCAAACTGTGATTAAAGTTAATCTTGGCTTTTTTTTTTTTTTTCTTTTCATTTAAGATGCTCTGCTTTGGTTCATGCATTGGAAAGCAAACTGCCATGACAGATCTCCTGAGCCCAAACAGGCCTCGCTGTCCATTTCTGTGCTTGTTTACTGCTGAAACTGGCCCTTCTCTCTGCTGGGTATCCGACTGCAGTAAAAAAATGTTTGCTTTTTTCCCCCTCTGCCTCCCAGTTTGTTTGTTTACAGTTAAACATAGTTTCCAGTCTTTTGCTGTCATCTTTGTCAAGGAAGTGCCTTATCATGCAACTCTCGACTACAGAATGAGGACAAACAGGGTCTGATACACCTAAACACAATCGTGCAGGTGTCTATTTGCTGGCAGAAATCATCTGAATTCAACAAAATCCTCTCCAGGATCTAGGCTGCTTTTAAAACCATCCCCATTTCTGGGAAGCAGGTTAGAATTCCTGAGGTCAGCTGTGAGAATCTTTCACCTGAAGAAGGAAAGTGTGAGTAGAGCTGCAGAAAGACTGCTAACAGTTTTCTTTTGCCTCTCAAACACATTTTCCTAAGGTCCATCAGAAAGTAGGTCAGAAGACCTTATGTCTTCCCTCAAGAAAAGAAAACCATGCCTTGAGACATCCGAAGTTTTCTTTATATTACTAAAGAAAATGCAAAAGTAGCAATCATCAAGTTACTAATAATTTCTATGGAGGTTTCTGCAGATGTTATTTCTTTAAAAGATGTCAGTGTTGTGAACAGAAGCTCATCATTAAATTTTTGGGCATCTGATACTACAACTAGTCAAGTACCAGAGAGTAAGCTTTGCAGAATAATTAGATGAAGGAGAAAACCGAATGCCCGCTCTGCTAAATATCATAAAGGAATAAAGAGGGCATATGCAAATTTTCAGCCATCTGCAGACAGAGATGGATGTTGAATTCCGTTGCAAAGAAACTGCTCCTGTCACCAAAGACCCCTCAACAATAAATGTGGACAAGGACTAGTCTGAGAAGACACCGCTATTAGTCATTCCCATGTTAGATGTTTTTCATCCACATGACATGGCACACAGCTCAAATGACCCAAATGTTAACAGAAGCAGCAGGGTTACTACAGACAAGTTTTAGTTAAAAATACACATTTTATTTCAATGTGCCAATAAAAAAGTCCCACATTTTCATATCACAGGAAGTTAATTCATACAATAAAAAGAGACCTGTGCTAGTCTATTGGTGTGACTAACTCAGAAGACCCAGATCATGCCAAATTTTAGTTGATATACTCTTCTATCTACATTCTTACATTTACAAAGACACCACAAAATCCCTTATAATAATGTAAGCAAAATAACTTTCTTCCTAAAAGATTGACTTCATAACTTTAATCCATTCTTTCAGGACTTGCACTTCTTTGAGGGCTTCCAGATGGTGAACGACTGAAAGGGAAAGAATCCACAGTTAACATTTCAGTAGTCATTTGGGATTCACAAATACAGGGAAAAGCAACAGAGGATACCCAGACTGCTCTGGCACCCTCTAAGCACTGGTTTTTAGTAAAATAACTAATCCCTATTGACAAAGTTAATGGGTTGATGATTTCATGTTGGATATAATACATTTATTTTTTTTTACTTTCACAATTTTGCATTTCTCTACTGTTATTTTTATAATACAACTTAAATGTAGTAATTGTAAAGTCATCTAAAGGGCGCTACTAACAGCGACCTTCGTGGACACAGGTTCCTTCTTCACTGTTCTGATACAGCAGCTTGTCAAAACCTATTACGGTGATCACTCAGCATTTGTTCAAGTCCCTTGTGATTGTTTGTGAGGTCAGACTACATACAGCCACGTTTTTAAATTCAGCAAACCTAAATGTAGAAGTTCTAAAAGTATGTAAAAAAACAAAACAAAACAAAAACAAACCAACCCCAAAAACCCAAACATCTTGCAGGGTAGGAAGATCACCAAGGCCAGGGACACATCCTGGCAGGTCTACAGCTGTTCTTACTAGGATATATCCCCTCCCCACACATCTTGAAGTTGTAAAAATGAACTGTTAAAGAATTCAAAATACAGAAAAAAAATGCTGCTGATTCTGTCACTACATGTATATGCAAGCACACACAGAGAGATAATTATTTACCAACTTATCTGAGTAACAGCAGTAAATATAACAGGCTCAATCTTCCCTTCCTGACTGCTACGCCAGGTTACTCTCCTCTATCTTCCCCCATCTCACTGTAGCTTTTAATGAGACCCAAAGCTGATTGCCACATTAATTCTGTGCTTTAAGCTCACCAGTAGAAAGGCTCTGTGCCATAAAACTGTAAGTGAACTGAAATGAACACAGGACCAGAAAAAGACAAGACCTAACACTGCTACATAACCAGTACCCAGGGAATTATTACCACATATGTATCACCGTATATAAAACCACAATCACACGTGCACTTCGTCTTATTTCTGTTGAAGAGATCTCAGCAGAATACCTTTCTGTATTTTCCTACAAGTAGCACTCACACTCCCCAGCAGAGATACTAAAATGCCAGCTCTACAGAGGCTATGTTATTAGTAGGGAGATCAACATACCTTCTCTTTGGAGATGGTGATCGGGACTTTGACCGACTGTCAAAACAAAATATCATCAATGCAGCTTAAAGGTCAAATGGAACTTTTATATTCAAAAAAAATAAGCATCTTAGCAATGGAATTATTACAGCAGTCTAGCCAGAAGCTCTTTTAAATGGCAACGTTCTCAAATCAACTTTTACTCTGAGAGGGATTTTCATTTAGCGTGGAGATTAATTTTAAGCAACTGTCTTCAGTAGAGAAAACAGGAAAATAAGGGGTAGTACTGAGGTGAAGCTTTGAGAAAAGAAACATCACTGCAGATTCCTGCTGTTTTATGAACAGCATTAATAAAGCTGAAGCGCTTTATCTGATGGATAGAAAAATTTAACAGAACTGAGCCCAAAGACAAAAAAATAAATCAGTAATAAATCACTGGAAACTACAAAGAGTTAACAAAAACAAAGAGATGGGTAAGGAACATCTTC